CACTCTCTCTCACACTCTCTCTCACACTCTCTCTCACACTCTCTCTCACACTCTCTCTCACACTCTCTCTCACACTCTCTCTCTCTCTCTCTCTCTCTGTCTCTCTTCCCCCCCTGCTCTGCCTTCTCCCTCCTCTTCTCTATAAATACAATGATTCCAGGTCTGCCCTAGTCCCCTTCCTGTCTCCACACAGAGATGTCTGTATAATATATGAAATAAACGCATGTTGCCTGCTGGAGTCTGCTGTTTTGATCTCTAGAAACTACATGAAAAAAAAAACAGGTGTGATGTGTAATAAAGTGTTTATACTGTTGAACCATACTTCAGGTGGATCTGTTTCTACTCTTCTTCCACGTAGCATTCAGCCAGAAGATATGTAGGAAGACTGAGGGGAGAGGCGGCTTTTATATTCTAACAGGCTTAGCAACTTTGGCTCTTTTCATTGTTCTTCAATTAGTAGCAGTTGACAATACATTCAGCTCAATTCATTAAAGAACAACACTAGGGGAAATTTTGTATTAACCCTTGCAGTGGGGCTACCCCGGCACTGCAAGGGTTAACTGCTTGTTTGTGCCTAGGTACTACAAGTTACTCACCCGATCATTTGAACCGGCTTGTTCTTAGACCTCTCCTCTGCATCGGTCTAAAGCCTGTGTGACACTGCACGCAAAGCCGCGCAGAGCGAAGCAAAGATGTCCGGCACAGAGCTTTGCGTGGAGTGTGTGAGCTGAGTGCAGGCAGATTGAGTGCACCTTCAGCCAATCGGCTCGCGCGTAACAACCGGCCAGACGTCGCATCCTGACACACGGGTTTATACGCGCAAGACGATTGGCTGAAGATAACATTTTTCATCTCGGCCCGCTCAGCTTTGTGAGCTTTTGCAAGCTGACGTGGCGGGGAGAAAATGACATGGCACACTGCTTGCGAAGGCAGCACACGACTGCTCCGCGCTGCTTTGCGTGCAGTGTGTCACAGCCTTGTGTCATCAGGTTCTATACAAGTGTATAGACACTGTGGAAGACTCCATCTGTGCAGAGGAGGAGGAGGAGATGCTTTTGTGACCGGAGAAGCTGGGAGTTGGCTTGGCAGTTCGGGTAAGTCTAGTTTTTTTTTTTTAGTACCTAGGCAAAAATGAGCAGTTAACCCTTGCAGTGCATATGTATCATTATTTCCAGCTATAGGAATTTTTTTCATCATCATCCAATCTCACTGCAGAAAATAACGGTATCATGGTAAATAACACAGTGCAGCTTAGTGAATTGAGCCTATTGGATTTTCTAGTTCATTTGTACTTCTTATATCTGCTGGCAGCCATTTTGGGTGGTAAAAGATCAGCAGATAAAGATTTCTTCTTGGAACTGGCGATGTTGCTGAGGGAGAAAGCAGCTGTCTGAGGGGCCTCGTGAGCTGAATATTGGATCGGCCATACAGTGGTCCTTGTGTCCGCTCTTCCTTCCTCTGTGACACATTTACTATTTGCTGAAAACACAGCGAGAGGTTTCTTACCCTCTCGTATAGACACTTCACAGTAAGATTTGTCTTGAAGTCGGGGACACTGGCATTTCTAAAACCTCTTCTGTTTTTTTTTTTCACCCAAGGGCCACTAAACAAAAGTGTCACTTATAATATACGGAAAGATACTGAAATCTGTCTGCGGGAGTATTTTGCCAACGTCCTCCTAAAGTCACAGGTTATCACGGCCAGCCCCAGACAGAAATTGGCTAATGACAAAGTCTTCTTTCCATTCCAGGAAAAGTGGAGCTGTGGCCCTTGTGTCATGTTTCAGATTCTGGTTGCTGTGCTGCAGTTTTTGGTCTTTACAAACAGCCTGGTAGTTCTGTTTTATGTGCTCGCCGTCTGTCCTGATACGATCTCTGTTCAGGGTGGATGTTGCAGATGAGCTGATCTGTGATGAGGAGTATTTGCCAGGAGGACATCTACTTTTAAATGTCTCCTGTAGGACAAGGGGAAAAGGGAAGCCTATACCCATGGCTGGCTATAGGCATACACATCAGTGGGACTGATACCCACATTGATCCTCGGTTTGAGGCCATACTTGCTATATGGTTGGACAGTTCTTGTGGGAACATCTCTACATGCAAGTTTTCCATGGCTATTTAAAGTGTTACTGAAACCTTTTTTTTTGGATAGCGTAAAGAGGGATTTTTGATGTTTTTATTGCTGTCTGTGTCCCCTTTTAGGGAGATTCACCCCTATCTGTTTGTGCTAATGATGGTTATCATTGAAATTTAGGAACAATCCCAAATTTTGGGTTGTCATCAGAACAGGAATAGATGGTACATGTGCGAAAGGGGACACTAGTTCTGGTGACCGCCAGAGATTTCCCTCTCTTTCCTCTCACTTCCTGTTGAAGAGAGACATAAAGTCCCAGTGGGATACAAATGACCTAAAATGCTGACAGAGGGTTTATAACTTTCCCTTGTTCTATCCAAAAAAGAAAAAGTTTTGGTTTTAGTTCTGCTTTGTTTGGAGGTTCTTTTATGTTTTCAGATGTGCAGGTCCCTGAAGCAGGTTTGGTTAGTGGTATATCTGTTACTGTGATTGTAGGAGGGTGTATTCTGTGCACTATTTGTTCTATATACTAGTGAATGATATTTGCCTGCATTGGGTTCATTGCACTTTGCATACACGTGGGTGTTCAAAGTCAGTGCTAAAGACAATATGTCCTATTGCCTTGCATATAGTTCTTATTCCGAACCTCTGAACAAACGTTTACACGAACTGGCACACCTCACATAAAGTCTGACAACCTTTCAAGCAATACCAGCCAGGTTCTGCAGACCCCAAGGCAAATGAAGCTGAGTAGAAGGTAATCAGTCTAAGGTCTCGTTCGCATATGCGCGTCTGTTGCGCGTTTTTTTTACCGCGATTCGCGGTAAAAATAGTTGCGTGACCGTCGCGCTTTTCCGAAGGCTACTTGGCTGTATCCCAATGGAAACGCGCAACAAAACGGCCCAAAGTAGTACTTGTACCTTTTCAGGCGTGGGCAGTTTTGTAGCGCCTTAGGGACGGGCGGAAATACGCCAAGGTGGGAACGAGACCATTGAATACAATGGGATTTATATTTTTGAGCGTTTTGTAGAGCGTTCGTCGAGCGTAGAACGCGCTACAAAACGTTCAGGTGTGAATGAGGGCTCACAGTAAATTGTATCTGCCCCCAGATCAGAAGAGGAGGAAAAGAAAATAACTTTTATATTGCAGAATTGTTTCATTCAAAGAACAAACAAAACCCTTGTTGAGGGAAAGTCAATTTATTTTGTACATGGACGTTTGCCTTGATAGAATCGGCAAGAGACATCTCAACTCCATGTTTAAGAACAAATATATTGCAGTACTGGAGCAAGAAATAGCTAAAGCAATATTTTAAAAGTGTATGTAGAGTTGTAACATTTCTGAAAGCTGCCGAGTTTTGTTATATCGAGTCACTACTAAACCCTACCATTGCCTCCCACTGGTGAACAATGCTAGGACAGTACTTGACCACCGCAGACATGCTACCACAGGGCTAAATGCTTGGATGTGGCAAGATCAGGTTATGAGGCCCCCATAGCTGCTGTGTAGCTTTATGTTCTCACTCCAAGCTTCGATTCCTGAGTTGTGGGGCAGGAAGTGTGACAGTTCACTTTTCTGGTTGCCCTACTTTCTGTTCCCAGCGATAATTTGGGTGTACCTCCTATCCGGCTGAGTCATAGATCCTCTATTATTCACCTGTTGTCTTTATAGGCAGCACTAAACCTGCTTCACAGGCTGAAAGATGCATTACCCAACTGTCATGGGCACGTTGAAGGGAATTCTCGTGTATCTTTGTAAAGGCACATCTGCTTTACACCTCCTTTATCTTTGTATCTAATGCTCATTTGTATAAAGGGGTTCCTGAATATTCTTTGTATCCAATGTTCCAGCTGGTAGATTTAGGTCATACTCGCCATACACTAACAAATTTTATGTGAACAGTATGTTTATTGTGTTCTTCATGTTTAAATATAGGATGGTGATGAAAAGCTAAGTGTTTTCTGTTGTGTTTTTTTCACATTCTTTATTTCGACCTGCCAATGAATCAGGTAGAGCTGAATAATACAATGGAACAGCAATCATAAATGATAACAAAAAAGAAGAGACACTCAAACTTTCAGATGACCTCAGTAGGTCAAGCCCTATGTGGTAACCTCTTGCGGGGGAAATTCTCAAGTAGTAGCAGAGTTATGTGCCAACCAAGGGGGACCTTTTAAAAGTAGGTCATGTGAAAGTGGTTGTGTTCCAATGGTTACAGAACTAGGATAGTGAAAGCAGTCTTCACGTTCTCATTTTTATTACAACTGGCATTGGGGCAAGCCAGGATAATAGAAGGGGAACAGAGAAAAATGGAGGGAGATGTTGGAACTGGAGGAAGGGGCTTGGGGTTTTGAAATGCACTAAACTTCCAGTTATCCGCCACCCACAGGCATTGGTAGGTGCCGGATAACTGTAGTTTTTGGTAGCTTGAGAGTAAATAGTATCTCTCAAGCAACCGTGCCCCCTCTCAGGTCTGTTCTTCTGCACGCCCAATAGCCAGTCTGCTATTGGCTATTGCAGTTTGAACTAGCCAATAACAGGCTGGCTATTGCTCCCCATTGTTTACTTTCTGCTGCCAACTGAGGAATCTAGCCACAGACTGGCAGTAAGATGTGAACAAAGTATTTCCTTCACAACTAAATAGATTACGTTGCTAACAAAAATTCTGCTGTTTGCACCATCATCGTGTGCACCACACTGCACATGGACCAGCAAAGGAGAAGTTTGTCTGAGGAGGCCAGAAAAAAAAATAGCCCAGCATGTCAAATGTGAAAGCTACAAGGCTATTTCCAAGAAGCTGGAGGTTCCTGCAAGTATTACTAGGAAGTCCATGGGAGTATAGCCAACCTCCCTGAATGTGGCCACAAGAGGAAAAGCGACCATCTATTGAACAGTATAGTGCAAATAATACACAAAGATCAGAGGACAACGTCCAAAGAGATTCAAAGTGAATTTCAAGGTACATCATTTTGTGATTGCTCCATGTGTCGCTTTTTGAGGAAGACCCAGGATTCCAATGATGAAAGCAAAAACAAAAAGCCAGACTGAAATTTCCTAAAGTGCATTTTGACATGCCACAATGCTGGGAGAAGAGACAAAACAATCTTTTTGGCAAGTCACGTTAGCTCTATATTCACTGACAAAAAGAACAATGAAGGGAATTTATCAAAACTGGAGCAGGCAGAATTTGAAGCAGTTGCTCATGGCAACCAATTAGCTTCTCTCTTCAGTTAATATTTGAAAATGAAAGAGAGAAGCTGATTGGTTGCCATGCACAGCTGCTCCAGATTTTGTCTGCTCCAGTTTTCATAAATTCCACTCACTGTAGCTACTGTGAAACATGAAGGA